GCGGACCAGGCTGGCCTCGATCTCACAGAGATCTGCCTGCCTAAACTGTGTATTTTAATAGTGAAATGGAGATCTTTTTTTAAAGTTTAAAACCTCAATTTTATGTCAGGATTTATACTGAGTACAATATTGTATAATTGTATTAATTCAACTGTAAACCTAAAAATTTACAGCCAGTTTTGAAGGAGATGCATCTTAGCTCTGGAAATTGTTATTGAATATGTCAATGCTGTTGTAATGAAAAAAAAAAGAATTTTAGAATGGGACTGGTGTACCAGCTAAGTTAGTAGAGTGCTTGTCTAGCAAGCATGAGGACCTGGGTTCCATCCCTAGTATGACAGAAAGGTGGTGTGGTGGCACATGCCTGCAGGAATTACAATTCCAGCACTCATTTGAGAATGAGAGAGAGGAGGATCAGAAGGTCAAATCATCCTGGGATACCTGAGCCCTTGTCTCAAAAAAATAATAATAAAAATGAAGAAAAAAAAAGTAGAAGAGAGACTATTTAGTGAGAGAGGAGGAGTCATCTGCAAGGGGTGGGGAGAATTAAGAAAGCAAGAGAGGGTAAGGAGCGTGAGTATGAGCAAGGTATATATGTATGTAATTGTGTGAAGAGGCCATTATGAAATTCATTAGTTTGTATGCTAATAAAAACCCTCTCAAAGAACTATCTGCTAAGTAATTCACATTAACATTATGTAGGGATTATGGAACCCAGAGTTTGTCCCTTGATTGATCCACAGGAGTCTGCCTATTAAATGTTCGTAATGTTATGGTCTAAATGTCAACCATACTGGTGAGGCTCCAGTTTTCAGTTTTTGCTTCCACATGACTAGGAGTGGAGAAAAGTGGAAAACTAAATGCTATTTAATTTCAAGAACTTTTAGGATGGCATTTGTAAAACATTCTGAGAAATAAAATTGAATGGTACCTGAAATATTCCTAGAGAGCTCCATTTACTCTCAGTAAGCACAGGATCCCAAGAGCTGACCCCCTGATTCTCTGTCTTCAAGTCATTAGATTAATGTACTTTTAATTCTATGCAAGATGCCAGCTGAAGGAAAATAAAGAGATGACATCAAATATAGTCATTTTGTATAGGGTGCGGTTCCCTGGCTGGTTATTATTATTTTTGAAGGAAAGTTGAAGGAATAGTATAAAGAGAAGGAACTCTTACAGTTTTAGCCTTTTCCAATATTTTTTAAGTTATTAGAAGCAGGCTATGAAAAATTTCACTCTAGGGACTAAAAGAAAGGGCAGAAAGAAATTGAAGCTGTGTTAAATGTTATATTTAGTAAACTAAGCTCTTCATAAATATTTAATCACTGGAAGCACAGCCAATGCCAGCAATATCGTTTCATCTAGGACCACAATGAAATTGAAGTTCATTCCCAAAGCTGATATTCCAGCTCTTCTTCAATTAATCCACACAACTCCCTTTGTGTATTTAATCAAATTGTTGCAGTCTCAAATTAAATGTTCTATTCACATGCACTTCCAATTTCAGGATGCCAGTCTTTCTGAATTTCTGTAAATGGAGCAAAGATTCGCATTCAAATTCTAAAAACATTTACCTCTTTTCATGGTTTTCAGCCTGTGTAATCTTTTAAGTATTAATATCCATTCTGGTTATTGAATAGTTTAAATTTTGCAGCAAATGAAATATTTCTAGAATTCCCTTAATACACAGAAATATCTGCTTTCCCCAGAAGCAAAAGCAAACAAGGACAAACAACAGCAAACACTTGGAGTTTAAAATAATCTTGACTCCTTACAATAAATCAGAGGAACAAACTTCTGTTCTATGAACGTTAAGTGAGGCAGATCAACCTCTCATATGCAAATTTGCCAATGTCTGGCCAATCATCTTCTATCAATCTTCCATCCTGTCCTGGTTTTTCCTTCTCCTTGTCACTAACAATCTGTGGGACATTAAGATTTGTCCTCTTTGCAACATAAGTTTTTACAAGATTAAAAGTGTGGAATTAACAAAAAGAGTGATAGCAATCCTGACCTTGAATTTTGGCTCTGTCCTTCATGAGGGAGAATAGGGCACATTGTAATGCTTTTAAAATGCTCTCATTTGAGGTTAAGAACACTGACTGCTCTTGCAGAGGACTCAGGTATAGTTCATAGCACCCATATGGCAGTTATCAACTGTCCATATCTCCAGTTCCAGGACATCTGATGCCCTCTTCTCCTCCATGAACATTGCATGACAAGTGAACTTACATACATGTAGACAATACACTCATACACATAAAAATAATAAACACAATATTTAAAAGATATTCTCATTTTCTTATCTACAAGGAGGTAATGCCATTGCATTCCAGGGAAGCTTTGAGAACCAAGTAGGCCATTAAAAGGTGCTTGGCCTCAGGTATCTTGAGTAACAACTGTGTCTATGAAAGTACTGTAAGCAATGATATCTCTACCTAACACTTTCTTTTCTTTAGGGCTTTCTTTGATTTTTCTGGTTGGTCCTATAAAGAGATTTGTAGTGAAGTAGGGATGTCTTACTCTCAGAAAATAAATTTTAGAAAGTGATACAGGTAGCCCTTGTGATTTGGTTGAAAAGAGGTCTGATTAAGAATAATGACAATAATAGCTGATATTTATTAATTTAGCCAGAACTTACTTTGAATGTGCTAGATACTGCATAAAGTGCTCAGAGGGGAGAAAAAAACAAAGAAATGTAATGAATATAACATTTCATTGTTTCAGTTGTATTCAGGTTCAGCCATAATCAGAGAGTGAGCAGATGCATAATGACTTAATCAAGGAAGAGTTTAGTTTTTTTTATATAACAAGAAGTCCAGAGATGGAAGTCCAGGGCTAGGACAGTGTCTCCACAATGAAACTCAGGTCCTCTAACCTTTCCCTCAGCCTTCACTATGGCTTTCACTCTCTTGCTTATCGACTCAGGGGTAAAATAGAAACTTAATGTCATAGATCTACTACCCAGGTATGGCAAAAAGATAAAGTTGCTTGATGGTGAGCCCTCCTATTCTTAGGAATCACCTTTAAAATTCCTGGGAGCTTTCTCCAAATGTGTGTATAGGTATATATAAACTTTTTACTTGTTACATGCCTCCCTTACCTGGAATAAAAGATAGAAACCTGAGGTCGTGCCACCCCATTATTGAGCCATGGCTATCAACACAAATGGAAAAGAGAAAGAACGTGGAGTTCTAACTAGCGGTGGTTTGGACTTAAAGAGGTCAGAGAGAAAAGCTGGTAAGCTTCTACACTGAAGCATCATAGGAACTAAGCCCTGAAAGATGATAGACAAAGTGAAGAAAACAATGTATCCTGGGCTCAATGAACTGAGATGCCAAGACACTGAGGTAGGGTGGTGTTTTATCTGGAAAAATAGATCTGTGGCTTTGTGTAGTTTTTTATTCTCTTCCCCATCTCTCTCTTGCAGGGATATGGACGCCTTTTTCTTCACATGATCAAACACAAACATATCTTGGCTAAGAACTATTTTTCTCAGATTCCAGTGCTGGCTTCATTTATACATGAAGATGGTGAAATAGAAGTGATCAGAAGTAAATACTCCATAGATAGGCCATCTAAACTTATAGAAGCGCATGGGACTCATCATTAGTGGGTTCCAAAGCATTTATTTAATGATGGGCATTTCTGATCTCTGCTAAAGGAGTAATACAGGGGTCATGTAATTTGCAAACATGCATTTGTCCTTTTTATTGGTTTTAATTATCTTTGTTTTCATAGTATTATATGGTATATGAGGAGAAAACTGTATAAATGAGCCGTTGTTGGATGGTAGTGCTAAATTATTCTCTGATTTTATTAAGATTAATAATTTAAAGACAATATATAGTTTTTCTATTTTCATGTTAAATTTAAAAAATTAAATGTTTTATAGTTAAAATACAACAGCCAAACAAAACCTTGGCCTAGCTTTCAATGCAAGTAATTTACTTAATATATTATAGTTTTAGGAGTGTAATTATTTCTTATAAGACTGTATTTTGATATAGGGATTTGAAGTTTTGCCTTTTATTGTCTGCTTTTACCTTTTAACCTTCCCATAATCCAAGAAAAGAAACTGTAAACAAAAAATTTCTGCATTTCATGCTGCGAAACAGGGCAAATAGTGAAAATATTATCTATGGAGGAGACTTCCTGTGGGGCAATGGTGAGATTCAGTAGGAAGGATGAACTTGATCCAATCAACTGTATCAACTCATTTCTTAATAAACTTAAGGAATAACCGTGGCTGCATATCTTTCTGGAATTTGGGATGATCAACAATGATGCATCAAGAAGTGGAGTACCCAAAATAGCATGATTTAAGAATTTATGTACAAGGAACCTATTATAAGATGTGCATAATATGTAGGGAAACTAAAGGAATAGCATAGGTATCCAGGGCCAGATTCAGACATGCTGAATGTACCTGATAGTCTCCAATGAACTTGCAGAGGGACAATCCTGAGAACACAGAGTATAAAGAAGACCAGATCACTGAGAGGACCAGCAACCAGCTATCAAAGGAGCAACCAGCCCTTGGTGATCTCAAGAGATCTCAGAGAAATAAGCTTCCAGTTTCATACTTCTCCCTTGTGCCAATCTCATTCTTGGGTTTTCCACTGGAAAAAGATGAAAAGGAAAGAAGCAGAGGGTCAAAGTTCATATAGCTTCAAAGCAAAGGCAGGGTAAATAAAGTGTGAGCAGATCTGGAGGGTTGAGTAGAATGTACTATGACAAGGAGACAACGGAAAGCAAGGATATGGTGATCCAAGTGACAATATTTCTTTACATATACCATAGAATTACAGAGAAACACGAATTTTTCTCCTAATTCTAATCTATAGTAAATGAGGCTTCTCTCTCGAGTGTAGTGATTAAGAATCTCAAGCTATGTATTTTTTCTGTATAAACGTTTGACAATATTTTAGCAACACATTTCTAGCATGTCTACAGCTTCTCTTTGGCAAAGGCCAGGCATGTAGCATTTGTCTTTAAGGAGCTAAATATCTAAGAGAAAAGTGTATTTTAAAATCAACAGTCCAGAATTATAGGAGCTTTCTCAACACCAGATTGTAGTTCGAACTAGATTGGGATCAATATGATCACTGATGTAATGACAACCATTTATGAAAAATGTGCTGGTTGACACAGGAATGAAAATACCCAGACTTTTGCAATAAAATTCAGGAGACCTTTGACGCTCTGGAAAGAAGGAAGAGTGGGATGAAATAGCTAGATAGGACCAAATGAAGGATTTCATGAACTTCTCCATTAACCTACTGGTGAAGAGGCTTACCATAGCATTGTCTCATAGGAAAGGAAGGCAGTAAAATGGAGAGGAGTCAATAGAAATTTAAGGCCTGAAAGACAAAGCTTGGAATACTTATTTCCCTGGCTCCTCCCATTAATTTCTTGGTCTGTTAGTAGTGACTGTGTTTCTCTGAGATCTTGCTTGGATTGGATCCACCCCTCCTTGAAATAATTGTTTCACTTTCTTCCTTTGTCTTAAAAGTCAGTGTTTTTCCTTTTTTGTAGAACGATTTAGTGTTTCACTTATGCTGCAGATTTCCTTAAATATTGTCTTTTCCTTTATAGATAGTTCTTTTTTTTTAAAATGCTTTCAAAAGAAACAGTTTGAGTATGCCAAGAAGTTTGTGTTGAGCCCTGACCACAGGGGTAATTGGCTCTGTGAGTAGGCCCAGCAAGTCGACCTTCAAATGGAGTCCTAAGCTTGGATTTCTCATGTACATGAAGAGCATATGGATGACCTTGCTTGGGAAGAACAGCATGATGATAATATACATACAACATGTGATAACACGACAATTGCTCACACCATCACCAACTGTGGCACCGTATGTGGCACAGATGGAGAGTAAAGCATAGATGCAATGGGTGAGGCTATAAATGACTGTGTAGCTAGCTCTCTGTCAGTGAGAAAGTGCCTGAGAAAAATAAATCAGTGAAGATTTATTTTGGCCCATAGATCCAGAAATTTTCAATCAAGGTTGCCTGGCCCCCTGCTATAGGTGTGTGGTGAGGTAGAACATCATGGAAGAGGCACAGTGTAGTAGAGGAAGATGCCTACTTCATTCCAATTAGGAGAGAGGGAGAGAAGGAGGGGAGAGGGGAGAGAGAGAGAGAGAGAGAGAGAGAGAGAGAGAGAGAGAGAGAGAGAGATATTGATTCAGTGATCAGTGATCTTCCTCCAGGCAGGTCCCACTTCCCAGTCTTCACAACCTCTCACTTATGCCATCACACTGAATCCATCAAGGGATTAGTGCAGTGATAATGTTATAGCTCTCATGGTTCAGCCAGAATGCCCATTAACTGGCAACCAGGACATTTCAGGTCCAAGCCTTAGCAGTCTTTGATGGCAAAGACTGAGGCTTAGCATGAGTATCGCATATGCTAGAGAGATTAAGATAGGAAAGGATGAATTGAAAGCACTTGTTGGCCAACTTAATGCCCTGATGAAAATTCAGAAGGCAACTATAAAGAAATACCTTATTTCCAGGAGTGGTGATGCACACGTTTAATCCCAGCACTCCGGAGGGAGAGGTAGGCAGATCTCTGTGAGATTGAGGCCAGCAAGGGCTATACAGTAAGATCCAGTTAAGAAGAGAAGTGAAGGGGAAGAGGAGGAGGAAGAGGAGGAGAGGAGGAAGAGAAAAAAAACTTTATCTTCTGTCTATATAGGACAGATATGAATAAAGATTAAATTTGGAGTGTGATTGTAATCTTTGTAGGCCTTCATGTCAATTATATGTGGATGCCTGCCAGGTCTCATACTAGGTAAGGATATTTGGTAGGAAAATCAAGTTGATCTAGTATGACTTAGTGTGTATACTGGAGGAGTTACAGAATCATGGCAATCTGTATCAAGAACACAAATGAAAAGAATATATATTTTACTTTCATTTTTGTTGCTGTGAAAAAATATTCTGATAAAAAGCAATTTAGAGGAAGAAGATGTTTATTTGGCTTACAATTCCAGGTACTCACCAAGGCTGGCCTTCCATCCACTCATCCCTCCTCCTCCCCCTCCAATTCTTCCTACTTTTCCACAATTCTCAGTTTTCTGATCTATCGTCTATCTATCTATCTATCTATCTATCTATCTATCTATCTATCTATCTATCCTTCCCACCATCAGCCCCAACCCTCTCTCAGCCCAAGAGAGGGGAAAGATGGAGTAATGAGCAGTGGACCAAGGCTAGAACAGCCCAATGGCTCCCAATAGCCCAATAACCTTGGGGAGTTGATATCTATCTATCTATCTATCTATCTATCTATCATCTATCTATCATCTATCTATAACTCATCTATCATCTATCTATCTACCTACCTATCATCCATCCATCCATCCATCCATCCATCCATCCATCCTACTGAGTCCATTTGATGGTGCTAGTATATTCATGTGTTTAGAATTTGGATAATCTATCTTGGGGAGCTTCTCTATAGAGGAGCAGCCAATAATTGCCCGTAGCTTTTCATCTAGAAATGGGACCTTGTGTAATTCCCCCATTCACATTGAATGTTAACTAGTGGTGTCATTATACATTACGAAGGTCTTGTTTAGACAACTATATTATTGAGATTTCATGGGTGCAGCTTCCCTGTTATGTCTTTTTTTCCATTTGATTATTTATTTATTTATTTATTTATTATTGGGCTTTTGGCAACTCTAACATTCCCCCTTCTGAAGAGGTAACCCTAAAATCTTTTAAGGATTAAATAAAAGTCCCCAAATATTTTCGACATTTTTGGCCTTTGGAATGAGCAGGTTGCCTAGAGGCCCAAGGACACTGTGAGTTTTAGCCAAGAAACTAGCTACTTTTCTTTGGAGTCTTTTTACTCTAACTGCCTAGCTAATTCCTACCTCCTATTCTTATCACACCACCCCTTGAAGAGGTTACCCAAATTGTCAATAGGGAATCAGGACACAGACTGCTCTGGCTTCTTCCATGCTGAACAGGGACTCAGGGTGAGGCAATTGGACTACCCCTTCAGTGGGTCTATCTAAAAGACTCCAAAATTGCATAACTCTTATCTCGAGGGGGAAAAGAAAGTCTTTGAATCATGAATAGGAGAAGTGAAAGAGAAGTCAAGGCAAGAATAATTAGCATTACAAGTTCTAGACAGGGAGCTAGAAAAAAGTCAGAACAGGGCAATTTTCAAATGTTCATATGAGAGTCCATTGGGATTGCTTT